CTTCATTATAGTTTTTGCAGAAAACAGTATGTGGAACTCAATTTCACTATCTCCAGTCAGGCTGGACATGTCTAGAAAGTCATCGTGAGATTATGGTACAGTGTATTCATTCCTACAAGGATGAGTTTGAATGTTCAATTTAATAAGCATTTATTATCTCCAGTCTGACTAGTCTAAGTGGTAAATATATACACAGGGACCATTATGGTACAGATGGCAGCTCCTGGACCATTAGCTGGAAATTATCTGGCACACTTCCACGCTATTTAACAAGACACTTCTTCACTGCCACCTCATTACTCAGCTGTACTTGACTAGAATTCTAGATTTCTCTGAAGTGTGACTGCAAAGCCCCATAATATCATACACAGACTGACAAAAGACACATCACAGTGGAATGCCTGCTTCTAGGAGCATGGATATATTTCTGAGAAAAAAGAAAGGAACTGAGACTACTATGGAACAGGGCAAGCACATGCTTTGCATTCAGGAAAATGAAACTTCTGCACTGCACAGGTATATGGCTGAAACTCTCTGTATGGATCCATTTGAGGTTATCAAAATTATGGGGAAAGCTATTTATGCCACTTTTCATGACACCCTGCTGGCTTTAACAGAATGGCTTTGTCAGCAATTAATGCAGAATTGAGAGTATTAAACTGATTTCTCATTAAGGGGATGATTTACATCTGAAGAAGCAATCCCAGCTAGCCTGCCATGGAGAAAGGAGGGACATCCTTTCCTAGAAGGAGAGTCACGCCAAGTGGGTTCCAAGTTTGTAAACCAGGGTAAGAAATGAGAAGGGGACTCAGCACTGACCTTCTGCCCTCCATCTCTATTTTTAGCATGAAGTTGGATGGAACCATGACAGATCAGCTATCTAGTAACACTGACAGACTGTCCAACATATAAGTCAAAGTGAGTTGGACAAACGTATTTTGAATATTGGGATGGAATTAAACAATAGGAAATCTATTTGAGTCTCAGAGAGCTCAGAAACCTAGCACGCAGGATTGTGATTGGTCTGGGTTCTAGCTCTATCACTGCATGGTCCCCTAAGCATTGCCAGGACTGACATCCTAGCAATGCATGGGGGATAACCTTAAATACCTGGGACTGACCCAAAACCCAAACAGGAAATATATTAGATATAATATCACAATCAGATTACCGAGTTACCTGCCTGGCTAAGGATGGACAGTACACAAAAACAGGTGCAGAGACTTTAGGAGGCAACACTGAACACAGAATATACCATTTAGACAAGGTATACTAGGAAGGAGATTAGGCATAGTAGTTCCAGATTAGGATTTAAATGTGCATTTAGTGAGATCATATCTGCAGTATTACATTATGTTCTACATCTCCCACTTTATATAAATGATCATACACTGGAATAAAATACAGAAGAAACAAGCAGGATATAGATGGAACTGGCAATATAATAATACGAGACAGCTGGAAAAACAGAACTTCTAAACGAGAGAATTAGGAAAACAGACAAGACAACTATCTTCAAGTATCTAAAGTCTCTAGGGTTGCCTCTGCCAAATGTGGTACAATTTGACGAATAAAATGAAACTTAATATTAATACATTTTAACCCATTTAATAATAAAATAACCTATAGGCCAATGCTGAAATTTATTCTAAGGGCTAGCAAGTGGAAAAAGGAGCAAAGATGCTCTGTTTATAGGTAGTGAATTGAAGGTCCCTCTGTTCTGGATTAATATAGACAGGAATCTGCTAAGAATGAGTTCAATTAGAATACTGAAACATTTAAATATCCTCAGGGTTTGCAAAATCGAAGCTTTTGTTTTCCTTTTAATTTGGGTGGAAAACTAGTTTTACTGAATGTCTAAAAGATAGCAAGTAAATACACTTTTATAATCTTCCCAATGTGGCAGGGTGATGGTATTATCTTGTTTCACAGATGGGGATATGGAAGGAACAGTAACCAATGACACAGAAGTACCAGACCTAGAGGTTGAACTTGTGTGTTCAAACTACACTGTCTTCACTACGCCCCAGGCTACAAAACATACACAGGGAGATTGGAAGGTGCCCCAGAGTTCCGCAGCTTCTTGACTCTGTCTTTTAAGAACCTTTAATGGCAATATTTCCATTATATACCCCACCCACATACTGCTGGCCTATTCTTCTGGGTCAGAAAAGGAAGACTCAGACCTTTTTTAGAAATCCTTTGACACTGATAATCACAAGATATTTCTCCCTATGGCTCCCTTTGCTTGTCCTTCTTTTAAACATGGTTTTCTGTTTACCTGAATTGATCCACTTTGTTATTCTGCTCTTCAGGGTCTGTTCACCTACTTGGAAACAAGTAGAGACAAGTTTTCTGGCTTTCTGGAACACTTAGGGAAAATGTGGCACTGGTGACAATACTCATTAATTCAAAGACACCAATGAATGATTTCTCTCTACACATGCTTGTACCTTATCACTAACTTGTGTTGGAAAAGTAAGAACAGTCTAGATCACAGTGCATGATGATAAACAAGCCCTCTCCATCTGAAAATATGACTATTTCTAAGGAATTTTCCAGGTTATATGTGTGGAATGTGTAAGTTCTTATCATTTCTCAGCTTGCTGCCCATATTTCCTAAGGCCCGAGCAGTTGGGGCTTAATTTATTCAACAGGCCAGGCTACTAGAAACAAAAGCTTTCTGAGTGGAGGTTAAGGAAATTTTAAATTTCTCTTTTCTTTTCCTTTCTGGCAGCGGGGTGCGTACACGTGCGTGTGCTCGTGTGTGCGCGCACGTGTGTGTGGCTGTGTGGCTGTGTGTGTGTGTGTGTGTGTGTGTGTATGTATCATACCTGGCTATGCTCAGGGATTACATCTGACTCTGTGCTCAGGGATCACTCCTGGTGGTACCCAGGGGACGATATATGGCGCCAGATATTGAATCCAGGTCTGGTGCATGCAAGGCAAGTGCCTTAACCCCTGTACTCTCTCTTTGATCTATTAGGTTTCTTTAGAATACTACAGTATATGTTTCTAAGTTTGGCTGCTTTCACACCACCTGTTTTAACTCTTTAGTTCCCTTAGGTTAGGGATCTTTCCATTGCACAAGCACTTCCATTTGTTCTGTGTGCCAAGGGTACAGCAGAGATATTGATAGAACCTTAGTGCCAATAGGGTCTAACGGTCTGGTCACAGAGCTGGTTCACACCCATCTAGAGGTTGCAAAGTGCCATCTTTCTATAGTATCCTGTACAAGGTAGATGCTTTCCCACAAAGATGTGACTAATGCTTTTGTGGAATGCATAGGAAGACAGACCTGCTGAATTAGCGTTAGCTTTGGGAGTTCAATAGTCTGACTTTTAGAGGGGGAAAAAACCATGGCATTGAACCAAGGGATCTGGGTTCTAGTTCTTGTTTTTTTCCCCACTAATTACTAAATTTTCCAGGTGGCTCACTTAGCATTCGGAGCCTCAGTTCCTTGAGTTGTGGGATAACATGCAAGTACCAGAGTTTCTCATTGGTAACAGAATGCGTGCTGTCAGAGGAAGTTCTGATTTCCTCTTACTTAACCTTACTTACCTTGCCAGGAGACAAGGAGCAGTTGGAGCCAAGAGTCTTCTAAGACAAATGGCTCTCGCACAGGCATCTAAGTCAGGGCTGTGAAAAGGGCAGAGGAGCAACTAGAAGAGATGTAGCTCCTGGGCCATGAAACTAGTCGGCTGAGTGTGAACTTGGGGCATCCAATGCACTAAACAAACTCTTCACTGAGAGTTGAAAAAGGAACACTTTCATTGTTGGGTGATTCCAGGTTACATTTCTAAGTAACAGATCAAAGGGAAAAGGAAAGTGCAGAAATCTTTTCCTGTTTGTTTTTAAAAATGGAAAAACTAATTTTCTATCCACACTGATAGCCAACAATGATTTAGAAACTTCATGTTAGATAGAATCACCCTGAATATCCTAAAACACTAATTTAGAACACGACCTTAGGAGGTTAAGGGTGTCGGGTAAAATACGGTTGTTTTTGTTATTGTTCAGTAAGAATAAAAATTAGTGAAACTTCCAGGGAATCCAGATCTTCATTAAAAAAACTACATTAGTAGAAAATGAAACAATGACACTGCACAAACTAAGGTCAAATAGCCTTTGAAAATTCAAGCCTTGATTGATATAAAATCAGTAACATGCAGCCCATGATCACTTCCTAGTCTTCAGACCCTGTGGGATACAAATAAGAAGAGGGTCTGACACAAAGCCGCCCCCTCTCCCTGCAGGTTCAGCAGATTCCGACAGTTGGATTCCTCGCCTGGCTTGATCAAAAAGAGAAAGAAAAAAAAAGCTTCACCTGACTTTACTGGTTTCCTTTCTCTCTCTATCAGACCTCCTACCTTCTGCTTACTTGCTCCAAAGTATAAAAGTGCAAGTGAGCAGGCTTCGTCAAAAACACTTCTGCTTCACTGCATGCTGCTTCATGTCCTATGTCCCAATCACCTGTCTCTGGACCTAAGGCCCACCAATCAGATCAGAGGGAGGTGTCAGGTCCTCTGGAGTCCCCTTTAGATTGGAGGCTCCTCTAATTGTGGAGGAGCCAATGGAAAGGTGGCCGTTTCCCAAATCACAGGTCTCGGCAGAGTTTGGGGAGGAGTTCCTTTCAAATCACTGCAGATATGAGCAAATGCAGGCACTACAGTTTTAGTAGTGATTCGGCCCTGTCTGGATCACAGAAGAGCCCACACAGACCAGCTGGGGGCACCACAGAAGGCAAGAGGCCTAAAGTCTCTCCTTGCTGTTCACCACTTGGCTACACTCACAACACGAGGGCCGAGCTCACTGCCTGAGTCTTCTGCCCTGAGGCAAGATCCACGGCGAAACCTCCCCAGACCTACTTATTTGCCTCCGGCTGCCACAGAGTCAATCGGCTCCTGAGTCCATAGAGAGGAATTTCTCTCTGGGTGTGGGTACTGGAGACTAAGTCAGCAGGAAATCATGGGAAAAGGAAGGTTGGGACATTGTCCTACCTTGTCACTGTCCACTGTGTTCTGAGAAGTTCTAGAGGCAATGGAGATGGTGTCAGGCTGGCTGCTCCCATCCCCCTGGCTGTCAATCTCCTCTACTCCATCCCTGCAGGAAGAAGAGAAAAAAATAGGGGTGGGGGCGGGGGGAACCTCTGTGGGTCTAGAGCACACACGGATTTGCAACTGTTCTGGCAGGGCTGTTCTTCAGCTCTTTCTAGCAGGAATTCATTTAAATTATTCCCACTAAAGGGAGCAGCTCTAAATGGTTTTCTACGATGTTACTTCTTATACCTAATAAATACATACTCATGACTGATGATGAACACGAAATTTCCTAGTGTCCTCATAAATTTTCCAGCTTATGTGGCAGGCAGAGGGGGCATTTAAAATTTTTTAAAGTTGGAAATAGGTTTATAATTGACATTAGGAAGAGCGACCAAGGACCTAAGCTAATAACCAGATGGGATCATCTAATAACCCCAGAGTTTAGAACACTCAAACAGAGTTTCTGCATGCTGTCACATGGTGCACAGAGGGAGCTGCTTTAGTGCTGACCTTTGAAAGGAACAAAACACAAATTTGTAAGTCTACAACTGTACCCCATGGTGTCTCACTAATAAAAATTTAAAAAAAAATAAAAGGAACAGAACAGAAAAGTTTCTTTTTTTAATCCTTTTTTTTGGATGTTCCACCCCCCCCTTGTTTTTCCTTATCTTAAGAAATTGCAAGTTCCTAATGTTGGATCTTAAACTGCTGGGGATACAGGAGATTATTGTCTTTATCTGTCGGGTTCTGTTGGACTTGTGCTTATTCATGATGAATTCTTGCCAACCCAGAAGGGCAAAGCATATTTTTAAAGATACTCCAATAGGAGCTGGGCTGATGGTGCTCCTGAGCACTGCTGGACAGTCTCCTGAAAGTCCTCCCCTGGCCCCTCAACAGTACAGCAGCCCACTGACATGTGCTCTCAACTCACCAGCTTCAGAACTGTGTGCTAATCTTTGAGCCCAAAGCTCAGACTTTAGGAGGATTAGATACCTGGGAACTTGTGAAGGTTGAATGATCAGGAAAAACTGGAGGAGATATTAAGTGGGCAGTGTATAAATTAGCACAGGAAATAAGTTTGTCCTATGGAGGTCTTTATGAGAGTCATACCCCAAATGCTTCTAATGGAGAGGTAATAGTATTAGGGGACAACGGGACTCATGGTCTGAGAATGGTGCCACTGGGCAAAATGTTCCATTTACTAAAACTGCTTCATAGAGTCAATCCTCCAATCAATCTGAGTGTGTATGGACATGGGCACACAGATGCATGGGTTTTGGATTGCTCCTTCAAGTCTGCGTTTTCCCTTGAGCACTTATCTTGCTTACTTGTTTCTATGTCTGCTTGTTTTTCGACTCTAGAGAAGCCTGTGAACTCTCTGGAACATGTATTATCTTTCTCTCCTCACATCTTTCTGAGTGTACACACACACACACACACACACACACACACACACACACACACACACATCTCCCATCCGGAACACGTCTAGTTTGATTGCTCTCTCACCATCTCCTGTAGGCTTGGGAAATGCCAATGCTTATTTTAATAATATAAGCCACACATTTGAAGGAAGGAAAATCTGCTGTAAAAAAGAAATTATATCATGCGCTTCAAAGCCAAAAATAAAGGACTTTTAAATCATCTGTTGTTTTGGGTTATATGGGCCACTGTTCCTCACCATTTGCAGATATTTGAGGATTGGCTGTACTTTCTACCTCCCACTCTCCTGGCCTGTTGTGGGACTTCCTGGTCTGCTCCAGATGAAGCTAGTTCTGGGGGAGGTGGGGTATCCATCTAGGGGTGTGGGTGGTGTTCCCCAAGTCAATTCACTTCTCTGTAAACCTTGTCCCCAGATTTGGGTATCCAAGCTCATGAAATGACAGATTGCTTGGCTGTTTTGCATAGTCTGCCAAGGACATGCATTCTCACATCACACAAAACAATAGAAAAAGGGTGGGGGTTATTTCTAAGATATCTCCTTCCTGCATCTGAGAAATGTTCAAACTCTCCTGTTTTCCAGAGAGTAACAGGAGCTAATCTCCCCAAATGTCTCTCGCACAATGGGTCTTGGAAGTCAATGTTTCCATCTTTCACTTTCTGTCTGAGGTAGGAGCCCCTTGAAGCAGGCTCTGTTCTTGGTGAGAAATGAAATCTGCCCCCTACTTGGACAGAGATAGCTAAAGTAAAATTAACTTTTCCTTCAACATGGTCATTATTTGTGTCTCCAGGACCGAGAGGTGGCCTGATCCTGGCCATGCCAATCTTGGGGCTTCTGCCACATGGAATCCTGGGGCCTTGGTGACTCGCTCTGGAGGAACTCTGATATCCCACAGGCCCATGGTGCTCCTCAGCCAGCATACCCTGTTTGGTACCAAAGGGTCAGCTACATCCTCTGGATTTCTTCCATTCAAAAGGGAGGAGAGGTGAGTTTGTTAGCATCAGTGACAATCTCTTCCCAAACGTCTTTTTTTGTGGCAATTTTTCTCAAAATTTACATGAAATTTTTGTTTACTTTGAAAGTTCCCTCCAAGAGGATGTCAGAGAGACTTCCATTAGTCTAAGAGAAACTGAGAGTCAAAGGAGCCAGTTTCATGAAGATACAAGAAACAAGTTCTGGCCACATTTACCTGAAAATGTTGCTTAGCTTAAGTGAACAAAAATAGCACTAGTTGTGCATGTTTGTGTGTGTGTGTGTGTGTGTGTGTGTGTGTGTGTGTGTGTGTGTGATAAGAGGGGGCTGCAGTAGGAACTGCAATAATAATGCCACAATGTTACCCTCCTCTCCAGCGTTCCAACACACCAAACCCTTTGATTCCCCTGTCTGGAGAGCTTCCCCACATTTCATCTTCTCCTCCCCAAAGATTCCCCACGCAGTCCATTCCACGTGCGTCTGAAGTTCCCTCTCTTGGAATTCTTATGCTGTCTGTCATTCCTATGGGAAGTTCTAATTTTCACATAGCTTCTCCAAATCTGACATAGGACAATTACATGTTTTTTCAGGAAATGGATCAATCTTACACTTCCTTTTGTCCTCTTGAAGCACCTAGCAGAGTGGAGCAAATAAGAAGTATTTTATGAAACCCTAAAGAGAATTTTTCTAGTAACAACTGGCAAGATGCAGAATGATAATTCATCTAGGAGCCCTCAGAGGCTTGGTGGAGATGGATGTCCCTGCGGAAAGCACCACTCCTGCAGAAATCAAGGTTTACTCTGCTCTAGTTCATCCTCTTGCCCACCAAGTGAGATGGGGGTGGGGGAGTGCAGGGATGCTGGTTACCTCTTACTATTGTTCCTCTGTTTGGCTGGTGTTTTGGGGAGCTGAATTGGCTCCTTTAAAGCTCCTTTCAGGTGAATTATCCTTTCTTGAATCACCTCCCGTATATTCTTGATCCACTCCTGCTTAGTTTCTATGTTGGAGGCCTGGGTGCCACAAGGAGAAAAAGTGAGAAACCCCGTTTCCCTTCACCCCACCCAAACCAGTTATAAACCCTTCACTTGCAGGTTAAACCCATTATTTACAAGGATACTAAATATCTGAGGAATTTCTCATTTCATATTTGTGACTCTTCAATTTTCAGCACATGTTGTTATTTACTAGAAGAATGCTATGAGCTGAAGATGATGTGGGTTTAAACAGTTTCCAAAGTATGAAACAATCTGTAATGCACTGATCAATATGACATTTGTGCTGGGGCCAGAGAAGCATTTGGAGGCCTCTGTACCAGGACACAGAATCCACACTTCAGTTACTGGTCAGGTGGGGAGGGTTGGGGGTGGGGGTGGGGATGGGAAAAGGCAGCCAGGAGATCCTTTGACAGTGGCTCTTTGCCAGGGGGCATGGGTAGGTCGGGATTCCAATACCTAGTCTGGTTACACAGGTATGTAGTAACTGAAAGTCAGTCCTGAGTTTTGAGTTAACTGAAGATACTACTGCCACTCTATAGACACCCCCATGGAAACTCTTCCCCATGTGCCAGGCAGTAGCTAAGCTGGCAGTGCAGAACGATCAGTTGGGTGCTGATTTCATCAGTGTCAGACTATCTTCCTCTTGGTGATGGGCATTTCCCCCAATCACCAAAAAGCCTCCAAGGATCCTTTCTCAAGGAGGCGAGCATGGCCCTGGGCACAGTCTCAGTTCCTGAACTGTCCCATGGGCAGCCGTCATCTATTGACACTTCTCTCCATCCACATAATCCCTATGCTTCTGTGACTAATTAGAGGCCTCCAACATGGTCCTTCACGGAGACTGGGCTGCAAATGCTTTTAAATGCGTCCTTTCCATTGCACTGAGCATAAGAGCTGCTCAGGCAAAAACGGTGAATGAATATTGAGCAAATCCAAACACCTTTGCTCAGAGGTCAACTGTTCTTGCCACTCAAAGGGGACACTGTAGCACTGTAGCACTGTCCTCCCATTGTTCATCGATTGGCTCGAGCAGGCGCCAGTAACGTCTCCATTGTGAGATTTGTTGTTACTGTTTTTGGCATATCGAATACACCACAGGGAGCTTGCAAGGCTCTGTCGTGTGGTGGGATACTCTCGGTAGCTTGCCGGGCTCTCCAAGAGGGACGGAGGAATCGAACCCAGGTTGGCCATGTGCAAGGAAAACGCCCTACCCGCTGTGCGATCACACACAGAACATATTTAAGTGGGCGCTGTAAAGGAAGTTCAGTGGGCCTTTCCCTGCCCTCTCCCCTGTACACTCACATAAGTGCACAGACTTGAGGAGATGCTTGTGTTCTGGGGTTTTCTAGTCTGCTTTCAGGATGGATTTGCTTCTCCACATTGAGGATATGCTGCCCTTCCTAAGGAAGGGTGGAAGGCGGGGTGGAGTGTCCAGGTGCCAGGCTGCAGAGGTAACATGCCCATACCCCTTCACCTCCCTCTTATTACCCCAAGCCTGGCTTTGGGCCCAGCCAAGAGCAGTACTTACTTTCAGCACTGTCTTATTGTCTGAGGATGGGGTGCGCCCAGACCACAAGGCGAATTTGCAGGGATCGCCCTCTACGTGCTCGGTCACACCCAGCTCTGAGGTCTGTAGACAGGAAATGCCTGTGAGAGGCGGGGAAGGGGAGGGCAGTGGGGGGAAACTTAGGGCCAGGGTGGGAAGGGAGAGGCAACAGAGAGGAGAGGGCCGAGGGAGGGGCTCGTGTCAATCACACTCAAACAGCCTGGACACTCTGCATCTACCCAGGAAGGAAGCACCGGCAGGCTTGTACCTGGGCAGCAGTAGCAGGGAGGGCAGGGAAGAGGGAGGTGCCGAAAGCAGACAGAGAGAAGGGCCAGCTCTAAAACAGAGAGTGGTAGCTGCGGGGGAGATGGGTTCATTGCTCCAGGATGGCTCTGGTGGTCTCAGGGGTGTGGACGCGCTGAGTGTTTCAGGATCCCATCCTGCCCAGGGCAAAAAGCCGCGGTCCTGCCACGGCCACCCACGCCCCACCTACCAGTAGCTTGTTCTTGTAAACATATTTCGTGTGTCCTGAAGAGTCTTTGATCTCTTTGCTAAAGACCAAGGAGATCTCAAAGAGGAACAAATGCCGCTCCCGCCCCTTTCGGATGAGAGACTTCGGGTCCCACACTTGGAAGGCGTCCTGGAGGATCAGCTCCCCCTGTACGTCCAGGTTCTCATCAAACCCTGAAAGACACCATGGACCCACCTTGGAGGCGCCTCCAGACTCACCCTCGGCCTCTGCTCCACTCCCTTCTCGCCCAGGGGCTCCCCTAACTGTGCTTCTCTCTATTGCTTTGCACCCCAACCTCGGAAGGAGACCAGTGCTACTGCAGCAGACAGACTCCTGGAGATAACAGGCATTCACGGACTCTCCTGGACCAGCCCTGCCTGCCCCAACCCCGTCAGCCTCAACCCTTCACCCAGAATAAGCCCCTCTTCACTTCTTCCTCTCCCCTGGCCCTTACTCTTCCTCATGGGGTTAGTGGGCTGCCTGACTGTCCTTGATTCTACCTGGCCACTGCTTCTTTCCTTCTACTTCCTTCCAGACTCCGCTCTTAAAATGGCTCCTGTGCAGGCTGGCACTTGAAGCCCTCCCCAGATTTATTTTTATGTCACTGTAACTCTCTGACAGAGGTTGTGAAACTTTTGTGTGCAGAGGCTTCTTTCACATCCTGGAGAGTTTTGGAAACAAGATTCCTGCCCATCCACACCCCACAAGGACTTGGTGTGCGAGGGGAAGCCCAAGTGCTGGCACTTCTGATAACTCCTCGGCATGCTGCTGGTGCTGCTGCTGCTTCTCTGCTCCACACAAAATCCCTGGAGTGAATGGATGCAGAACGCAGGCCAGGGGCAGGTTGGAGGAGAAGGGCACTTACAGTGGACACAAGGTGCAGGATGAGCGGGCAGGTGTAGGCAGAAAAGGGCTGAGATCCTTGTGACAGTGGGGGCACATGCAGGTACTGCTCCGACCTCCTGTGCTCAGGGAAATACTGAGAACTAGACCAAATATTTGAGACGGGGATGTGAGGGAAAGAGAGAGTAGACAGACCCCAGGAGAGGAAAAACAGGCCACAGGTTTATCTATTTACTTAGAAAGACTTGCTTCCATAGCCAGTCAAAATTGGGATGCCGTATTTTAAATTCACCAATTTCCCATCCCAACAAGGCTACTCTCCCTGTTCGTTTCTCATTGCAAAGTTGCTTTATTGCCTTATACTTGATTGTGTTCCTGGGTTCCAAGAACATAGTTCCAGAGGACTGAAAGGGGTGATGTGTTATCACATTTTATCTGGCTAAACTTTTCTCACCTCACATTTTCACAAAGGCGAAAATGTCAAAGTGTGTACATACTAAGAAGGATTTCTGCTTTGATGAGCAATGTAATGAAAATGATAGGCAGTGCTTTGGGACTGCTGAGTGTTGGGCCTGTAGCACACTGATATGGGGACAGCGGCTTGTCCTTGCCAATCTTGCAGGCAGGTTGTCTACATTCCTAAAAGGCTTAGGCTGGACATGAGCTGAGCAGTCCCAGACCATCCAAGAACCTAGTTACCACCTGGCCAATTCTCCTCTTTCTCAGTCTTGCCCCTTACTGACTTTGCAACACTGACCTCCCCACAACACAAACTCTCTGATTTCAGGAAAGGGAGAGGCAGTGAGGGCAGGCCGGGAGGACGGTACCTTCTAGCATGCTGACGTGCATGGCATCATTGGCTTTCTTTGGGACACTGAGCATCACCTCCAGGCCATCCTTGAGCTCCCCTTTCCCTTCTTCACAGCAAGTTAAAAGTTCCTGGGGAAAAAGCCCAGACAATTAGAGCTGTTTCTTTACAGCTTCCCTACTCTCCCACCGCATCTCCCCTCAAGGCAACTTTATATCAGACATATACTCTGCAACATATCCCTCTAAAATATAAGGCAAGCAAGGTACCTTAGAAGGAGGGAGTTGGCCCCCATATAAGTCAACCATCTTTTTCTCTCCCAGAGATGCTTCCTCAGATCAATCTAAACAAGTTACTTGAGCCCAACTCCCAAATGCCTGGTTATAAAAGCAGTGACATGCTCTGTCTCTGGACTACCCTCTTGTAGAAGAGCATTTCCCTAGCAAGGCAGTACTGTGTAATCAAGAGAACAAATAGGTGCAAAGGAAATTCAGCTTTGTATATTTTTCATGCCCACTGCTAGTACCACTCTTATTACATGCCTCTGCTGAACAGTGACTCCCACCATCTGGTATACATGTTATAAATTCACTGCAATTCAGAGTTAGGAAAGCTTTTTTAGATCAGCTAGATAACACTGTCTACTCTATCACCTTGGTGTAAACAGGATTCTGCACTAGTCCTCTCATCGTTAGATGAGGAAACTTAATAAGAATGAATAAGATTTTCCCCAGGTTATGGAATTTATTGGAGGTCATCAAGGATCTTGATCTGAAGTCTCCTGAACAGAACTTCAGCCACCACAACCTGGTTTCTCTAATATCCTCTACCACATGGAGACTTCCTGGAGCATGCTCTCTCTCGTTCACTTTCTCACTGGGGAAAAGGTCATTACCATCCCCCCTCCTCCCCTCCCTATCATTATTCCCTTTGACAATGGCAAGGAAGCAGTTAAGCAAGAGACTTGCAATCTATACAATCTCCTTCAGGGCATGCAGAGACTGGGTAGATGGATGAGAGTGAACTTTCAGGGAAGAAAAATGCTGACCAAATCAAACCTTGTAAACAAGTTAATGTTAGACCTCCCAGTAAATAAACTAATGGTACTTGCTGGCAGGGGAGTCCTTATCTCTGGAATGCTTTTAGCAGGGATATCTGGCCCGTCTAGGACTTCTCATGGTAAACAAATGGCTTTGGGGACATGACTCTCTGGAAACTGTCACATACACTGTACAGCCACCGAAGTAACACATGATTGTTTCAAGACCGAGATGACTTTCCCTGGAGTGAGAGGATGGTGCCTGCACCACCTAGAAACCTTGTATGCTAATCTGGACCAGAGCATACTCTGATGCTGTAAGAAATTAGGAGCTTTTGGTTCGTGGGCTCTGTTCTTTTGGAATTATCTAAATCCTTGAAATTGACAATGAAATGTTATGGTTGGTAAGAAAACTGCTGATGGAGCACTGGAAAAAAAATCCAATCATCCACGTTAGCCTAGCTACATCCCCACAGAACCAAGGGAGCTCTCTGAGTGTCTGGAGGAGAGGTGAACTGATCCAAGCAGGTGTTTGGAGACAGAAGTGATCAGTTCTCACTTCTGTACTTGGTCCAGACAGTGTAATGGCATCACTGTTCAGAAGCTGTATCAATTTGTACCACTTGGAAATTTTCTTTGTATCCCTTTCCTAACTTTTGGGTTTGTTTTGGAGTCATATCTGACTGTGCTTGGAAGCTAGAACCAGCTTGATTATCAGGGGGTCACTCTCTGGCCATGCTCAGAGGACCACAGTGTGTCAGAAATCAAACCCAGGGCCTCATACATATAAGGCAAGTGGTCTACACTAAGTCACATTCCTGCCCCTACATTTTCCCAATTTTAAACTTTTTCTCATACATCATCAAAGGATCTTCTGAAGCAGAAGCACAAGATGGAAACAAGAAATATGCTTTGGTTTGCAACAGAAAATGCCAATTAGTTTAACCCCTAAAGCAATTTAGTAGCCTATTAATCCATCAGTGAATCCAATATGCTCTTCTTGGATTCTTGCTATAGCTTATGATAAGGAGAAGGTTACCCATTTAATTTAATCTCCAAAGGGCAGATGAAGTAGATTTATGTGAAGACTATTGAACACTCCAACTGATATAGAGCTTTTACTTTTATGTCACAACCAAATTGATGAACCCCAGAGGGCACTGATGGTTAAATATCAATTTACTTGGATTAAACTGATTCTAATAAGGAAATAAATCCCATTTACTTTTTTTTTTATAGTAAAAGCTCAGCAAACTATCTTTCTTTCACTCATCAGGCCCTATGTGACTAGCACATTAAAAAGAGCCCAAAATTATCATCTTATTTTTCTAATAGTTTTAGAACTTCCCCACAATCAAATTTCCATTATTTAATTTTTTTTTTTTACTTCTCAGTTGCCTGCACAGTCACCTCTTCTTAAACACCCAATTACAACAACCTACTCCTCAATCTGCTTAAAGAAAAACCTATGGTAGCTTATCAATCCTTTGTTGTTCTTCCCTGTCTGTGTCCAAATTGATCATAGGAACCTCAATCTTATGAGATTATAAGGGAGAGGTGAAGTCTATTTCCCTCGTAACCTGCATCTAAATTGATTTAATTCACGGATTGATTTAAGACATTGTGAGCAAGTGAGATTTTTTAAAAAATAAATTAATAACCCACCAACTCTTGAAAATGTTTTGGGATACTTAAGACCTACAAAAATAAAATTTAAAAAAATCTACATGCACCTCCATCCCTCCATCCCCAAAGAACTAAGAAGGGTGAAGCACTGAAGAGGGCAGAGAAGAAAAGGATAATTATAAGCAGAAAACTCGGCTAAGGAAAAATTGTATGTGACCACAGAACTCAGCTCCAAGTCCAAAACACTGGAGTCAAAGGCAAAAATGTGGATTTAGAGCTTTTGTGGTTTCAAGGCAGAAAGTAAAGTTTTTAGGACAGAATTCCTATCTTCTACTCTGAGGTCTCCTGTGAATTTCTGCAAATCTTGAACATAAGAAACTTCTAAGAACAAAGATATTCTCTTTACAGCATTTCTGCCCCAAAATCTGAGATTTAGGTCATAATAGAGGTGCCACCCTGACCTCCAGGCCAAGGTGGGTCTTACCAGGGCCTGGGGCAGCACACTTCAAACATTGTACCATGGCAGACGTACTCTGTTCCTGTGCCTATTTCTCCTTTCCCTCTGCAGCCACCAAGGCAGTGTGGGCTCACTTCTGAAGACCTGTCAAGGGCAGAGGAAACTCTCCCCTGGGAAAGGCTGCAATTCCCGGGACCTAGTTATCAGTGCGGAAAAGGGACTGTAGAGGGAAAGCAGGTACCTTCAGGAGCAGCTGATACTTGGTGATCCTCTGAACAGGTTTAATTAGGTAGGAAGAGATGGAGTTGGCCAGGCCGTGCCGCTGCTGGATCTCCTACAGGGATGAAATGAGAACATTAGACTTGGTAGGGGCGGGGGGAGGGGAACAGGTTCTGGAAGGAGGGTGGTTATGGGGGAACACTCATGGAGAGGAACAGAGAAATAAATCACAAGAGAAATCAGGATGCATACGGAAATAGAGAAACCAGAAATGATGGCAAAAGAGGAAACACGTGAAGAAAATAAAAGAGATTTTGGGACAGATGAAAATTAAAAGATGAAGAAAGAAAAGCAGGAAACGGATTTGATAAGTTAAATAATGGACAAAATGGTAAAGGAGGGATGACAAAGGAAATAAATAAAGGAAAGAATATCAGTGATGGTGGAAACTGAAGGCGAGGAAAGATTTGTTTTGTTTTGTCTGGGCCACATGCGGTAATGCTCAGGGGCTACTCTTGGCTCTGTGCTGAGGGTTACTGCTAACAGTTCTTGGGGATTCTTGTGGTACCAAGAACCAAACCTGAGTCCCCTTCAGGCAAAAAATGCGCTGCGTTCAGTCCACCCAGCCTCCTCTCTGATTGAGAAGAAAGGGGAGGCAGGAAGAGAAGCTCTGGTTGTCATGGGTCCTCAGACTCCTTTTGAAAACAACACAGAGCACACTGCCTCTTTCACCGTCCCTCAGGTTGACAAAGCCAACGCTTAGAATAACTGCATGATTTCTTCTAGCTTTTTCTTTGCCATCAGTGGCACCTCCCTTCATGTCCCTTGAACTGGAAACCATGGACTTCACTCTAGTGATGTTCTATCATTTACTGATGCCAAGCCTTTCCTCTCCTTCCTAGTTTAACAAACATGCCCCTCATTACTCATTCCCAGGACAAGCCTGTGGCCCCCGAGTGATGTTTGTGCCACTAGTCCCTCCTACTTCCGGCATGGCCTTCCACTCCCCAAGGTTTTGGTATTTAAGAATCTGGTCAGCAAAGCATATGATTTACTTTTTCCCTTAGGAGTCTATATTCTAGGTAGCTGAGAATACTCACAGGTGAAATAAAGAGTGTAACAAAGGACAATAGAAGGCTTTCTCCTAATTACAGTCAGAGTGAGAATAGAGAAGTATCAGTGGACTCAGGTTTGGTCACTTACACAACCACTCTTTGTAGAGACAAAACTTTAAGGACTGGGAATTGGGATCAGCACTGAAGTTCTTGCCTTGCATGTATGAAGCTCTGGTATTGGCTGCCAAAAATAGCAACCAAAACAAAAAAAAAAGAGATGAAACTTTAAACTGGGATGGGAGAACTGGGAAGGTTGGAGAAATGATGTGTGATAAAGGGAAAATGAATAAAGCAAGAAGTTAGGTTGTTAATGGAGCTGAATCAGATAAAAGAATAATGATTTGATGGCAAGCTTCTCAATAATAAAGCACCGTAGATCTTAACTAGAAGAAAACATGGCAAAAATAATGCTTTAGAAAGTATACCACGAGCTTAGTAGCAAAATAGGGGATGGAAACTGGTGAGACAGAAAGTAGTTAGGAAGTTACTGCAAAAGTTCATGTGTTATTATGTGCTTAGCAATTCTATTCTTAGCCAAATACCCAAGACAAAGGGAAACATATCCATGCAAAAACTTGTATACAACAGCTACAGTGACATTATTAATAATTGACAAAAGGTATAAACAACTCAGATGCCATTAAACTGATTAATGGAAAAATTTGTGTTATATCATAGTAATATTCTTCAACCATAAAAGGAACAAAATACTGACAGATAATATGTATCTGTTGTAAACATGAGTGAATTTTAAAATCACTATGAAGTCGGCTAGAAAAAAGCACACATAATGTGGTTTAATTATTATTAAATATACAGAGTAGACAAAACCACAAAAAGAGATTTTTTTTTTTTTACAGCTGGGGATATTGGCGTGAGCATAAAGGTGGTGTTGAGAGCTGAGGGGGATTAACTTGCTTTCTTGGAATGAGGGTTCCCAAGTGGAACTCAAGAAGTCTGGAGGCTCTTGCTAGTGATTCTTGCACAACTGGGTCAGTAGTTCAATGTGAGGGTCTAAGGATGTGGTGCTTCCTGGTCCTGTTATGCTGGGGATTACCTGGGCCATTCTGGCAGTGCTCAGAGTACCATATGGTGCCGGGAATCGAATCAGAGTTGGCTGCATGCAAACGAAATCTTAATCCCTGTACTATCTCTCTGGCTCTGTACACTTGCTAGCTTGTTTATTTATTTATTGTTATGCTTGGAGATGCTCAGGGGTTACTCCTGGCTCTGAATTCAAGTATTCCTGTAGTGCTTGGCAGGGCGGGGGAGTATATGGGATGCTGAGGATTGAACACAAGTTGGCTGTGTGTAAAGTGCCTTACCTGCTATACTATCTTAACTTGCTTTTTGAGGTGATAAAATGTTCTAAAACTGACTGTGAGATGACAGCATATGTCTGTGAATATTCTAATCAACCATATTCAAGATAAAGGTATAATCTTTATATATCCCTATCTTCATATCTATAGTGTGGGCATTTGTGTCAAAGTTAGTACTAGTGAGAACAAAATGTTGAGATGAATAAAATAACTTTAAACTATACAAGGACAGGTTATACAGGGAGAGAAGAAGAGAAAATAGAGATTGGAGAGATAGAACAGAAGGAAGGGTGCTTGCCCTCCATTCAGCTGATCTGGTTCTATACCCAGTAACCTATATTGTCCCTGAACACCATCAGGAGTCATTCCTGAGCAGAGTCAGCAGTAAGCCCTAGGCATCACAGGGTATGACCCAAAAACTAAAAAAACAAGAGGAAATAATAAATACTTTCATTTACTATCTACTTCAGAAAGTAGTAATTTTATATTTCTGTATGCAAATAATGAAGCAGAAGAGAGAGAAAATTGAAAAAATCTCAATAACAACTGCACAGTGTCCCCCCCCCCCCGCCCCCTCCATACCAAACTAAGGACTTGGGAGTCGATTAACAAAGGAGGTAAAAGACATATAAGAAAAACCATAAATTAGAAGAAATAGAAGAATACACAGGAAATGAAACCATATTCCTGACTCATGGGTTGTAAGGATTAACATTATTAAAATGAGCATCTTACCTAAAGCACTATACAGCTTCAATGAATTCCTCATAAAAATTCCCATGACAATCTTTAAGAACAGGTACCAAATACTGTTAAAATTTGTATAAAGTAATAAAACTCCCTTTTGATTGATAGTTAAAGCAATCTTGGGGTAAAAGATGGAAGGCTTTTCTCTTCCAAATTTCAAATTATACTATAAAGTTCTACTAATCTGTGTGGTTCTGGAAAAAAGGCTGATTATCAGATAGTAGAATAAAACTGAGGGTTCAGAGTGTATGGATAGCTAATCTTCAGCAGAGGTCTGAAGTGTATAAAGTGAATCAAAGAAAGCCTCTTCAACAATTGGTGTTAAGAAAATTTATTGTCCACATGAAAAAAATATGCACCTCTATCTAACACCATACACAAAAGTTAATTAAAAATGGATTAAAGATCTTGATGTTAGACCCCAATATATTTTTAAAAGTTGAGAAAAACACTGACAGAACTAAACATGGTACTGACTTTAGAGGTATTTTCAATAACTCAATGCCAATGGCCAAGAAAACAGAAGCAAAAAAGGGTGGGAGGGCATTAAAGAGGGAATTCAGATACAAAATTGAGTTGGGGAGGGGGCAAAGTGTTTTGAGGGGAGGGAGACAGGTGCACTGATGATGGGTGTGGTTCTGGAACCATGCCCACGAGAAACCATTATTAATAGTATTGTAAACAAAAAAATACAAATAAAAATGACAGACCACTGGTGAAAAACCTACTGCATGGTGAAAGAAACGATTTCTAGAATGTAAGGTATCCTATTGGGTGAGAGCGATAGCACAGCGGGTAGGGCGTCTGCCTTGCACGCAGCCAACATGGCCGACCCGAGTTCGATTCCTCCACCCCTCTCGGAGAGCCCGGCAAGCTACCGAGAGTATTCGATATGCCAGACACAGTAACAACAAAGTCTCCAATGGAGACGTTACTGGGCCCGCTCGAGCAAATCGATGATCAACGGGAGGGCCTTTACCTTTACCTTTATACATCTAACAAAGGGTTAATGTTCAAAATATATAAAACACTTGTAAAATTTAACAACAAAACAAAAACTCCACCAAAACATGAGGAAATTATTTGAACAGACACTTTCTAAAAGAATACAGACAGATGATCAATAGGTATATGAAAATGTATTCTTTATCATCTTATGATCAGGAAAATGCAAATAAACACAATGAGATATCAGCTCATATGAGTGAGATTGGCATATATTAAAATGCGTAAAACAATGAGTTCTGGTGGGAGTGCAGAGAGACAGAGCCCTCATCCACTGCTGCTGGGAATGCCACACTCTCAGACAAATGAACAGTGAGTTCATCTGGGCAGTTTGGCAAGACGGCAGAAGCAATAATCCTCCTTGACCATCACTACGAAGGCTGCCTATGGGTCAGTGGGGAGAGACTGACTGTGAGTAGCTAGGTCAGTGAAATCAGACTTAGCAATCAACATGGAAACAGCACAAGCCTCACAGTATTCATCTTCAGTGTAAAAGTATGAATCATATGAATGAGTGGGCATTCCTGGCACTATAATTTTCTGTGTTCTTTTTACAATAATGGATGGGTCTTTATTAAAGATTTATCTCTTTCATAGGATGAGGGACTAAAGTGTATAGTTACTAAGAGTTCTTAGAAGTTCTAGAAGTTCTTAGAAACTCTTAGAAGAGTTCTTAGATGGTATGTTATTCCAAGGAAATGGGGGTGGGGGAAGCTACAGTGATTGTGTTTTTAGAAAGCTTTGGGAACAATCAGAATATTTTAATGCTTCTTTTCCCCACCTACATGCCAATCACCAGAAATTCCCACTGGACTGTTTTTCTGACTTCTGTCAGCCTTCTCAGTTAGCACAGATAATCATTCTCCATATTGTAAAAGAAGAGGTCATGGGGGGAAGTTTTGGGGTAGGTATGATTTATTGCAGTATAGACATTTATTGTGGCTAGAAATAGGTATGTGAGGAATATAGGGCTACAGGAAGATCAGCACCAGGAGGTGCTATGATGTGTACCAGATAGGAGTCAGGAAGACCTTTGGTCCTCAAGGATTCATAGCGGTTTGTATGTGTGTGTAATAAAAAAGGCAAATCATCATGAATACTAGAACTGAGATACAAAGTAGAGTATAAGCATATAAAAGGGGAACAATAAAGCAGAAAGGAAAATTTGGTCTTTAAGGGGTGAAAGAAGGGCTGGAGCAATAGCACAATGGGTAGGGCGTTTGCCTTGTATGCGACTGACCCAGATTCAATTCCCAGCATCCCATATGGTCCCCTGAGAACCACCAAGAGTGATTCCTGAGCGCAAAGCCAGGAGTCAGCCCTGAGCATTGCCGGGTGTGACCCCCCCAAAAAAAAGGGGGTGAAAGAATTTTGAAGAGAGTGTGTCTATATGTGTATGTTTGTGTGTGTGAGAGAGAGAGAGGGAGAGAGCGAGACAGACAGACAGACAGAGTACAGAGGGCACAACACTTCTTAGACATATCTTAGAACAAAGACAGGGAACAGTATGAGGCAGAGTACAGGACATACACTTCAGAAAAAGGCTTACAGAAAAAGCACTAGCAGAACTCTATAAGAAAAAAAACCCTATCAAAATATGGAGAGAAGGCATGAATAGAAACTTCCTCAAAAAAGAAACACAATTGCCAAAAAGCATATAAAATGCTCTATATCATTAATCATCAGGGAAATACAAATAAAAATAACAATGAGATATGACCTCACACCACAGAGACTGGAACACACTAAAAATAACAACCATCACCAGTATTGCCATGGGTGTGGGGAAACACGAACCTTTGTTCACAGCTGGTGGGAATATTGTCTGGTTCAGTCTTTTTGGAAGACAGTAGGGAGACGCCTCAAAAAACTAGGAATTGAGCTTCCATACAACCCGACAATACCACTGCAAAAAGCTGAAAAGACACCTGTACTCCTGTGTTCACTGAAGCACTACTCACAATAGCCAAAATCTGGATACAACCCAAGTATCTATGAACAGATGACTGGATAAAGAAACTATGGTGCATATATACATTGAATACTACTTAATCTAAGGAAAGATGAAGTCATGCGATTTGCTGCTATGTGGATGGATGTGGAGAGTATCACGCTGAGTGAAGTCAGTCAGAGGGAGAGAGACAGATACAGAATATCTCTCAAATGTGGGATATAAAAAAGCTTCACGGAGGAATATCAAGTGCCCAAAGGCAATAGAAGCAAAGGCAGCACTGGTCTTCAGTAGAAAGCATGCCACTGGGGTAGGGGGATGACATAATTTAGAGAGGGTAACATTAGGGCAACGATGAGGGGGAGAAGTGCCTGCCACAACTGTATTAGTGATTCTCAAACTTGAGAGGGCATCATTTTCCTGCCAGGCTTCTTAGAACTCAAATTTTGGGGGTTGGGACATAGTACAGTGATTGAGTGCAGAATTCACTGGCATAGTACAGGCATCAGTATTGTGGTCCCCTGAGCATTGCCAGAAGTCAGCCTGGAGGTCCCCCAAGCATGCACCAGCAGGTATGAGCAGGCCTTCTTTGAGGCCCTGAGAGAGTCCTGCGAGGATGACCTGGGCGATCCCTGCCCTGCAAGTCCCAAGTAGCACAGGGTCCTCAGCTCTTGCACAGAGCTGCCAGCTTTCTTGGCTGAAAATTGCCACTGGGAACACTAGGCTTCCTGAGTGCCATTTAGAAGGTCCCATATTTTAGAGATTCTTATTCATATTTTGAGAAGATCCCAGGAAACAAATTTCTAACCAGTTCTCAGGTTATGCTGAGGCGGCTAGTCTGAGCACCATAGTTTGATAGTTTGAGAACTTCCACATATGAATGAGATATAAATGAAGTAGAAATGAAGGGCCAGGGTGAGTACAGTGGGTAGGGTGCTTGCCTTGCACGTGGAAGACCTGGTTCAATCCCTGGCACACCATATGGTCCCTAGCTAACTGGGAGTGATCCCCTGGACAGAGCCAGAAGAAAGCTCTGAGCACCACTGGGTGTGATTCCTCCATCAAAAGAAAGAGTAGAAGTGAGATGTTAAGTGAGGTATGTTAATTCATACCTGAGTCATGTAGGCCTTCTTGAAATAAGTTATTTAGGGCTAAATTTGGAATTGAGACAGGAAGACCACTGTGTCATGTCCAAACTCAGCCCTTGAGATGGGAGTGGAAAAAGCAAGACCAGCACTGATTTTGCTTTTCTCCATGCTTTATCCAGGAAATAAAGGCCTGGAGTGGCCAGAAAAGAAAAAAATGAGGAACAAAGGAGAGTTAAACACACGCTATTGCAAAGTAGAGAAAGCATTTCCATCTGACCCAAGAATGAAAATTCACAGCTTACGTCAAAGAAAGTGCCTGCGTGCTCCAGGATCAGCTGGTTGGAATCAGGCTTGTTTTTACAGTAGGTGACATACATCTGAAATTTGTCCGCCTGAAAATGAAGAAAATAATAGATGAGCATCCTTCATTTTTCCTCTTTGCCTACTGAGCCTGAAGGCCAAGAGCTGTACAAGTTCAACCCTTGGATAGTGGTACCTGAACTATTTGATTTGTGGCAAGAGTTCTCTCTCCAGCTCCTTATCCTCCATCCCTCCTCCCTACCTTCCTTCCTTTCTTCCATCTTTCTTTCCTGCCTCCCTCTCTTTCTATAAATCTAGGACCTTGCACATGTAAGGCAAGTTATCTTCCAATAGGCCACACCCCCAGCTCTCCTTGTGACGAAAGCTCTGCTCACCTGGACCATGCTCCCCTCACAAACCCTGAGATACGATTCTCATATCAGAATGTGCAGAAAGCGTGCTGTAAGTGTGCTCGCTTAAATACTAGTTTGCACTAGAAACGTTCAGAGAAACAGTCACATATCATCACACATTCTCAAGTTGGGTATAATTTATTAGAGATAAACTGTTTTTTAGGAAATCTTTAGGGAAATTTCCTGAATTTTTTTACATCTCAAAAATGGCAGTATTTAGTTTACAAACATAAGTACAAAATAACAAGCATGATTTTAAATGTAGATCTGCTTGTTCTCCCAATGGCCTCGCTGTGTGGAGAGTTTGTAGGAGACTCTGGTGCTGCCTTCAATTTCTCAGAAACAATAATGGGGCAAAAAAGCTGAGTGACTCTTTGGGACAGGGACTAAACAATAATTCAAGAGTGTTACCTCAAGTCAAGTTCTTCATTAATGGATGAAAAAACGGGGGTTGGAGTGGGCCATACCCAGTGGTGCTCAGGGATACCTAGCTCTGCACAGGGATCACTCCTGGTGGAGCTCAAAAGACCATATGTGATGCTGGAGACCAATCCTGGGTTGGCCACATGCAAAGCAAGCACCTTACCCACTATTCTATCTCTCCAACCCTGGAAATTCATTTCTAACTTCCCTCAGGATCCTCTGGGTTTGTGTACACAGTCTTTCTATTGGGAAACGTGTATGCATTTTGGCTGTAAAGTCCTTTTCCATTTCGTGACAGGCTGCCTATCTTGGTGCCTACAGAGCACCAAGTCTTCTGAGCCAGCAGCCTACATTATTGTTATTTATAGTGGGTTCATTTATGCTATGTGATGAGGTCTGGAGTGATAGCACAGCGGGTAGGGCGTTCGCCTTACAAGCGGCCAACATGGCCGACCTGAGTTTGATTCCTCCGCCCCTCTCGGAGAGCCTGGCAAGCTACTGAGAGTATTCGATATGCCAAACACAGTAACAACAAAGTCTCCAATGGAGACGTTACTGGGCCCGCTCGAGCAAATCGACGGGAGGGCTTTATATGTACATTTGAGCTCATTTGATCCTCGTAAGACCCCTATTTGGTGAGTCCTATACTTTTCCATTTTTCACAGATATAAAATGTGGCATTGGTTAGTTAAATGAATTTTAATTCCCACAGTTAGAAAGTTGTAGGCAATCTGAGAATGGGCTGGTAGTTTGCAAACCAGCCCTTCTACCTTTTACTCTTGCAACTACACTCATAATGCCATAAAGAACAGGAGACTTAAAGTCACCTTGGGTGATTCTTGGCAAAAAGTACATATGTTATATAATCACCAAAGGCATATTGACGTAGATTTGGAGGCTAATATATTACTTATGAGGTGAACCATCACCACTACAAAATGTTGGAAATCATACTTATGGCACATTGAAAGGCAAATTCACAAATTTCATGAAACAAAATGCAAAACAAAATATATTTTCTCAACGGTCACCTTTGTTTTCTTCCTACACTGGCTGTCAAAGCACAAGTTACATATCAATATTAATGTGAACTGCATGGGCTCATGTATATAGAGGTAGAAATTGTATTAGCACAAATGGAATGGCAGCCTGGCACTTCCACGAGAACAGAGCAGGCAAGGAAGTAGAAGTCACGTTTCATAAAAAGAAAACCACTCAGCCTTGAGCTGTGGGACTGGCTGTGATACTCATGACATCGGTGGACTAGTCAACCTCCTCTGTCATTCGAAATGCTCTACCTGTAATATCTAAGAGAGAACTGCAGCCCTGCCTAGTCTGTGGGCATGTTGAGAGTATAAAAATCTCTAAAACATGAAGGCACTTTGAAAAGCACATTCTGAACCAAAGTTATAAGTAGATAATTATGAAATATCTGTGCTTCTGACCCTGAGAAATGATTTCTATGTTCAGCTGCACCTACTGGCCTCAATGGACTTTCCCTGAGATACCTGAAACTCATATCACCAACTTGAGCTCAGAACACTGTGCAGTGGGGAAACTTCTGGCACTGCCACCTGTCTCTATGATCAGAACCTGGGTCATTCAGCCCAGTTACTCGTTGTTGACAACAACAACAAAAACTACTAGACACTCAGCCTGGGGGTCAGAACTGGGAGAGATGCCAAGAAGACTCTTCTTTCCCATCAAGGAAGAACAGTGGCTAAAATTCTAATCCTCAAGCCCTCCTCCTGGAAATTAAACTAAGGATAAAGCCCACTGTAGCTCTTGTACAAGTGGTTAGTGCTCTTGTTCTTCTCTCCTGAAAGGAACCTCCATTCTACCAAATCCTTGGAGAACTTAAGGTGGAACTCAGGCACAACGCTTCAGAACTTTCCCCAAGGACACTCTTTCAGCCCTGCTCATGCCCCCTCTCTTCTCTGGCACGTCTCTTGTGTGAAACTGGAACAGAAACCAATCCTCAGTTGGGCATCACATGGTGTTACTAGTTGATGCCATCTGAACACCAGGGAAGCAAGGGTCAGTTGGAGGATTTCAAGCCAGTTACCCAGGTAACAAAGCAGTGTCCCACATCCTCAGGAAGCTGCTCATACTTCTCCAGCTCCTTGAGGAAGATGCTGCAAGGGGAGAGAAAGGCTGAATCAGATCCAGTGTACTGAGACCAACGCTACCAAAAAAGTCTCAATCATTATCACATGACTGCTTCATTTTCTAAATGAGAAACAGTGAGGAACAGTTTAAAATATGTAAAGGCAAGCTTAATTAAAATGCATATTAATTGATTTAAGTGCGACTTAAAGTAATATTGTTTTAGTCAGAGGTTTAAATGTCTCAGATTTAAAATGATGAAATACTTGTGTTGGTCTTTCATTTTAACAGCAACTGCAATTTTTTTTTTTTTTTGCTTTTTGGATCACACCCGGTGATGCACAGGGGTTACTCCTGGCTCGTGCACTCAGGAATTACCCCTGGCAGTGCTCAGGGGACCACATGGGATGCTGGGGATCAAACCTAAGTTGGCCACATGCAAGGAAAACACCCTACCCACTGTGGTATTGTGACAGCCCCACAAAATTTTTTAAATACAAATAATTTGAGTACAGTAAGAAAATCTCTAGGGTCAAAGCTATAGTGGGTCGGGCTACAGTGGGTAGGGCTCGTGCTTTGCAGGCAGTTGACTTGGGTTCCATCAGCAGCATCTCATATGATCCCCTGAGCCCTGCCGGAGTGCTCCTGACACGGAGAGTCAGGGGCTAAGCCCAGTGCACTGCCAGGTGTGGTTCCAAAACAACAACAACAACAACAACAACAACAACAGAAAATTCCCAGAATCTAAACTATCTAGACATAAATTTCAAAAAAGCAATATAGAGGCAGGAAAAATTGTACAGTGGGCAAGGCATCTGCCTTGCAAGCAGCCAACTCTACTTTGATCCCTGCACTCCACGTGTTCCTCTCGGTCCCATCAGGAGTGATTTCTGAGTGTAGAACCAGGACTGAGCCCTGAGCACAACCTGGTGTGGACCAAACACAAACATACAAACACAAGCAAAGTAAATACTCTTCGAGATGTTAGAATTATAGTAGCACTGCACCATAACACTGTCCTCCCACTGTTCATCAATTTGCCTGAGCGGACACCAGTAACGTCTTCATTGTGAGACTTGTTGTTACTGTTTTTGGCATATCACATACGTCATGGGGAGCTTGCCAGGCTCTGCCATGCGGGCGGGATACTCTCGGTTGCTTGTTGGGCTCTCTAAGAGGGACGAAGGAATCGAACCCAGTTCGGCCATGTGCAAGGCAAATGCCCTACCCGCTGTACTATCGCTCCTGCCCATAGAATTATAGTAGAAAAAAATTAATCTATACTGGCTTTCAATTTTCAAGTTTCTTCTACAAGTAGCCAATTTATGCTAAAATACAAAAACAAACTATGAGCTGATGCTTTTCAATGCAGATATTATTGTGAATGGGAATTTCATGGAGAAAAAAATCACAATATATTTCAGAGTGAAACTGAATTATCACTGAATTATTGCTACTGTGGATATCTATGCAAGATTCCTTTCCATGAAAATAAATAATACAGAGCTGACCATATCAACTTCAAATAGCTGAATTGAATTTAGGTTCTAATAAGCTGGCATTGCTGGAATGAAATTTGTTTTTATTTTTTTAAAAAGCACATTTATATTTTAAAATAAATTGATTTTCAAACAAATTATGAAGTTGTGAAGAGTTATACGGGTGGAAATAGAAGATGCTGCAATTTTCACAAAAAGCAGCTTGAAAATATAAGAATGCGATTTTGCTTTGTTTTTAGGTCACACGTGGTGGTGCTCAGGGCTTTCTCCCGGGACCCTATTTGGTGCCAAAGACTGAATCCAAGTTAGCTGCAAGCAAGGTGAGAATCCTACCCACGCTACTTTCTCTTTGGCCCTAAATGAACTTTTGTATCTGCCATTTTAACTGGAAAATCTCGTATAGTATTAACCTGACATATATAAAATGATGACCACAAAGAAATGTTCACTGGGTACTGTTTCTAATAGTAAAAACAGTCTTTAGATAACAAGTGTGAAACCAAGATACACCCACTGAAATTAATGTTATATAGCTCTAAAAAAAGTGATTCTGTCTGATTTTCATGTGGATGATCTCCAGAAGGCTTCTTAAGAAAGTGAGAAAGATTTCACACAATATGTAACCTTTGATACAAACAGAAACTATATTTAATTTCAATCCAATAAATCTAATGGTCCAAGGTTTATTGGATTGAAGGATATACAAGGTAAGTTCTGAAGATCAACAATATAGGCTAGAACCTATAGCTAACAACATTGTATCTTGTTCTTTATTTTATTTCATTTATTTATTGATTTATTTTTCCTTTTCAACCTTCATGAGATTTTTAAAAAAATTTTTATTAGTGAAACGCCATGAGGTACAGTTGTATCTTGTTCTTAAAATTTGTCAAGAAGCTAGCTTTTATGTTAAATGTTATTATATATTAATAAAACAGTATTAGTGATAACAGTTCTAACAGAGATGAAATCTGGATAAAGATCTATATACTTATCCCTAAACTCAATGAGTTGTATATATATATATGTATGTACATATAATTTTTTCTTTAATTTTGACGGGCCCATGGCAATTCTGGGAGCTACTCCTGACTCTGTGCTTTGGGAGTGGGGTCACTCCCGGTAGGGCTCAGGAGACCATAAAGTACCAGGGTTTGAGTCTGGGCCTCTTGCATGTAGAGCATGCTATTCTGGCCACGTCTTATCACTACAATTGTTAGTAGATTTTAGTAAATGTCAGTTGTTCCTCCTTTAATGGCAGCAACAAGTGTCTAGGTGTAAGAGTGCATATGTGTGTGGTTGGGAAGAGAGCTCAAAGAGAAAGAGCACATGCCTAGCATGAAAGAGGCCCTGAGTTAGCTGGGTGTGGCTCTGGTGTTCCAAGAGTACCACTGAGTCATACATTGCAGGAGCAACCCCTAGCCCTTAAGCACTTCTTGGGAGCACCACCCACAAATATGAAGTTAAAAAAAAACTGGGCACATCATGTTTGAATGCCAAGGTGCTAATGATGATTGGTGAAGTCATGGCTGAAAGAAAAATTTTTCTATCTACAGTGAAAATTTGTCATGATAGATAGTATTGTTTTAATCATTAAAAAAAGCCACTCAAAATTTTGGGAGAATTCAACAGTGGCATTTAATAATTATCTTTCTTCTAATGTGTAAGTGTCTTCTGATTTGAATCATGAAACAAGAGTAAATATAAGGCAATTTTGGCTTTAGAAATGTAAACAGTCAATTCTAGAAATCAATAAAGTTTCATGTTAACTTGCTGCTTTTAGAGGAACTGCAAGTGACAAAGTTAGGTTCAATAAGAATTCTGACATGGGAATAGGAAACAATATTATATAAAACTATAGTTGAGATTCAAATTTTTTTCAAGGCCAAAAGAAAACAAATTTTTGTTACGCACAGAAGCAATCTGGCTCATCACTTTACACACTCTCAGACACCCTCAGACACTTCCTCAAACACACCCATATACATGTAATTTCCTGTTTGTATAACTGAATTCTAAAAGCATTCATCCTGTGATGTTTCCCCCATGAGGAAGATAGAATAGTAGAATGTGCAATATTGTCAGAGTAGTCCTTTGGGTACTGAGTACTCTTTGTCTGGTCATTTATCACATTACCCTCAGTGAAGACAATGCACAAAAATCCTGCTCAGAACCACAATGGGCTGAAGAGGGTCTGAGCATGTGAGCTGGAGCGGTCTTGGAAAGTGGAGAAAGAAAATCTGATAAGCTATTGGTGGACCAGGGTTGGTAAGAGTAAGCAATTTGCTTTTAAAGAAAGGAGGGTGCAGGAAGAAGAGAAAGAAAGGGAAGAATCTCAAGTCCTGGCCCTGATTAGCACTCTCAGTTCACAGGAAACCTCCTCTCCTCTCTCAGGACCACTCTGCTCATGTAACTACTTCAGTGCTCACCGCAGTCCCCTACGCCTGACTCCCATGCTTTGGAAGCTCTTCTTTAAGGATCAAGTAGATGATAAAGCAGTCTGGATCATGACATTCCATACAGTGTAAAAATCCTTGTTTTAGAAGTTTGAAAGGATATCCAGGATGTCTCAGGGAGAGACTCCCCTAGTACCTGATTAATGACCTAAGGTCACTTGTCTGCTCACTTAAAGTTATTTTTCAGCAAACAAAGGCAATTATACCCACAACACTGATCATTGATCTGGACGCTGAAGACAGTGCTAGCAGTTTTATTTAAAATATTGGTAATTTAAATAGAGAAGTGGCAGGACTTTTTGTGAAAGCAGTTCTCCAAAGCCTATGGAATGAGAAAGAGGGAGTGGGAGAGGGAGAGAGAGACAGAGAAAGAAAGAAAGAAAGAAAGAAAGAAAGAAAGAAAGAAAGAAAGGAAGAAAGAAAGAAAGCGAGCGAGCATGTAGAGGTGGGAAGTACCATGTCCAGCATGAGTTCCTATCCTGGGTTGATACCTGGTACTGCATGGTGCTATCAGCATTGCTAGGTGAAGCCCTGGGGGTCCCACCAAGCACCACTGGGGTGCTTTGGTGGTCCCTGACATCCAGGGCTCCAGAAGGATCACATCCTTGAGCCTAGAATTGGGCTGTCCTGACTATATGGCTGAGAACCACTGGGAATAGCACCTGGCCTCACTGAATGTGCTAGGGAGGGTCTCCCTTAGAAAATCAGCCCCATGAAACAAGTGGTTAAACTGAAATGTCTCATGAAATGAAAGGATTATAAAGTAAATTAAATGCATGAAATATTATCTGAATAAGTAAGGTTAAAGAGTAACACCACTGATCTACCCTTCTATCAACCCTGCTTCCCTTCCCCCCACCGTCCAGCGCAAGTTAAAGAGTCAGAAGTCACATCAGGCACAGTTGTGAGGGGGTCTTCCAAAGCTTCCTTGTTTTTTCATCTTACAATAACAAACTTATGGGATGACTATGAGAATTTATTAAATTCACACACATAAGGAACTAATCCAATGACTGATACATAGTAGGTACTAAGTAAGCATTAGATTTTAAGGGTCAGGGACTCCTCAGTGTT